GTCGACGCCGCGCCGCCGCAGCAGCGCGTCCTCCGCGGCGTCGAGCGCGCCGTCGAGCGTCGCGAAGAACTCGACGTAGAAGCCGCCGCCCTCGGCGACGGCCCGCAGCCCCCGCGCGACGTCCGCGCCGCAGGCCGCGCAGGACACGGCGGCGCCCGCGGCCCGCGCGGCCCGGAGGACCTGCGCGACGACGTCGCCCGCCGCGCCGTCGAGGCCGTAGCAGAGCTTGAGGTCGAGGACGAGCGACTCGACGCCGGCGAGGGGCAGCGCGGCGGCCCGGAGCTCGACCTGGGGGGCGTCCGCGCGTCCGGGAGGAACTGACGGGAGGAACTGACGCGGGAGGAACTGGCGGCGTTGCCGAAGAAGAGGAAGCCCTGGAGCCGCAGGAGGCGGATGGCCTAAGGGGGGGCGCCGCGTCGGGACGGTCGCGGACGAGCGACGCGGCCCGACCGACGTCGCCGTCGCGGTCGAGCGCCGTCGCCGCGCCGAGCCAGCGGTCGTGCGTCGACCGGAACTTCCGGCCCGTCGTCTTCGCGCGCACGAGGGGCACCTTGAACGCGTTCGCCGCCAATAGACAGAACGAGCACGCGGCGCCGAGCGCGACGCCGCGGAGCAGGCCCGCGGAGACCATGGTCAGGACGATGACGACGACGACGGCCGTCTCCGCCGCGTCGAGCTTCGCCAACGGCGCGGCGAACCAGTCGAAGAGCAGGCCGCAGCCCTGGGCGAAGAGCATCGACGCGAAGACGAATTTCGGCACGAGCGCGACCTGCGTGGAAATCAAATCTTCAACACGACTTCAATGTGAGCGTTTGCGACAGTTTCGACGCAAGCATTTCAGCTGTGCTTCGAGAACTCGATGCGAGCAATCGATCCGTCCAAAAATCAGCCGAATCGGCTTCGATTCGACCGAGCTAGAGAATTTCCCAAACCAGTGGTTGATTTCCACACAGAGCGCGACGGCGTCGAGGCCGCCGGGCGCGACCGCGACGGCGAGGAGCGCGCCGGCCGCGGCCGCGCTCGGGCCCCGGGGGCGGCAGCCGACCTAAGAGGATCAGGCCTGGAAACCCGCGCTCGAACGGGGGGCGCCGGCGGCCGACGTCGCGGAGCAGCACGTTCGGCGCCGTCATCGGGCTCGCGCCGAAGCCGCCGAGCACCGCGGCCGCGCAGTGCGCCGCGCCGATGAGCGCGAGCTCGTCGTGCCTGGCGAAGGGGACCATCGACGCCGCGCGTCCCCGTCCGGGCGCCGGGGAACCGCGCGCGTCGAAGGCCGCGCGGTCCGGGAGCTCGAGCGCGCGGTCCATGGCCAGGAGCATGAGGCTGTTCTTGAGGAGCGCGAGGGCGACGAGCGCGAGGGCCGTCGGCGCGCACGCCGAGAGCGCGCCCGGGTCCGGCGCGGCCGAGGCCCCCCATAGAAACCACGCGCCGCCGTCGCCGGCGGCCGACGGCGCGTCGAAGAGCCAGCCCCGGCCCCGCGCGGCCGCGAGCGCCTCCGGCGACACGCCGACGGCGCCGTAGAAGCACGCGGACGCGACCGCGAGCGGCGGCGCGAGGAGCGCCGGGTGGAGGCGCAGCTTGAAGATGCCAAAGACGACGCCGCCGAGGAGCAGCGTCGGCGCGACGTGCAAGGCATCCTCCAGAAAGCCGCCGCCCCGGGACACGCTCAGGGACCCGCAGAGCCGGAGCACGAGGCACCCGACGCCCGACAGCAGTCCGCAGATGCCTACCAAGTGCGACGGATTCCTCCACATCTTCAGGCGAAATTCACGCGAAAAAACACGCCTGTCGCTCGACGCTGGCATCTACAGGGATAAGGCAGCACCTCCGCGAGCCGCAGGCACCGGAGCCGCGAGCTCAACAGGAGCGCGACGCCCGTGAACCCCACCGTCGCCGCGCAGAGCACCTGGAACGTCGCGCGCTGCGTCGCCGCGTCGAGGGGCGCGGCCTGCGGGTGTTCCGCGCGTCGGCGCCGCGCGACTTAATGACCAAGCGCGCGCGCACCTCGGCGCCGTCGGCGGCCCCGGAGACGCGCGCCGCGAAGACCGCGAGGAACGGCGTGTAGGCCAGGTCCGGCCCCGCGCAGACGAAGGGGATGCGCCCGCGCGCGACGTAGAGCAGGACCGCGAGGACGCTCGAGATCGTCGTCGCGCGGAGGCCCGCGCCGAGCGCGCCTGCGGGTGCCGGCCTCCGCAAAGCCGCATCGAACAGAAGACGCCGGCGCGTCGCCGCGCAGCGCCGGCGCGCCGGAGAAGACGGCGCCGGCGAAGACGACGTTGAGCACCGCCTCCGTGAAGAAGGCGACGAGGAAGCCCGTCGCGTCGCGCGGCGCCTGGGCCCACCATTTCCGCGGCGGCGGCTGCGGGTAGGACGCGCAGGGCTTCGTGGTCGGCCGCTTCAGCAGCGCGCGCGCGCGCACGTGCGCGGCCGCCGGCAACGGCTCGACGAGCTGCTCGCGCCACAGGAAGGACTCGTTGGGGCAGGCCATCGCATCAGAACTGCACGCAATACCCAAACGGCACGTCGGGCTGCGTATCCGTCCATATTGGATGATCAGCATGGGGCAGCCCACCGCGGCGCCCCCGCGGCGGCGGTCCCTGGCCCTGGCGTGCCTCGCCGCCGCCGGCGTCGCCTTCGTCGCGCTGAGCGCCCACCCGGCGAGCGGGCCCGCCGTCGGCGAGCTGCTGCTCTACGGCGGCCTCACCTTCAAGGAGATCGCCGAGGGCCTGGGCCACACGGGCGGCACGACGGCCGGCGTGAACACGGCGAAGAAGTACGCCTGCGAGCGGCGGCGCCTCGCGGCGCGGTCGGCGCGCGCGCGCGGCGCGGAGACGGCGCCGGCGCCGGCGCGGTCGCCGCGCGCGACGTCCGCGGCCGCCGCGTCGGCGGCGGACGTCGCCGACGAGCTCTGGACGAGCTCCGGACGAGCGCTCGAAGAGCTCGTCGACGACTCGACGGCCGCGCCGACTCCGCCACGCATCGACTCCTGGACCGTCTACTTCACGGCGACCATGGACAGCGACTCCATTATCTCGACGTCTTACGTCTGGTACATCACGACGAAAACGCGGCCGTGTCCGCCACGGTCCTCATCGCCTCGTCGGGCCTCGCCTGCGGCGTCTCCGTCTACAACGACACGCTCATCTACTTCACGGACCAGGACGGCGGCGTCTGGACCATCGAGACGTCCGGCCTCGACGCCACGGAGATCGTCTCCTACGACGCCTACGGCCTCACGGGCGAGCCGAGCGGCATGGACATGTGGATCTACACGGGCCAGATCTTCTGGACGGACCTCACGGCGGGGGCCGTCTACTCGGCGCTCTTCGACGGCTCGGGTCTGGCGCTCGTGTCCGACAACTTCACGAAGCCCTTCGATCTGTCCATCGCGCCGCACCAGGGCAAGCTCTACGTCTCCGACTGGGAGCTCGAGCGGTTGATTCGATTGAACACGGAGGGCGGCGAGTGGGAGGAGTTCCTGCACGTGCCGACGCCCCGGGGCGTCTGGTGCGACCAGACGAGCGACAGAGTGTTCTTCGCGTCGTACAATATGTCCTACATCGGCGCGGCGTCCATGGACGTGCACAGTGGCGACATCGACATCATTTTGAACGGCTCCTTCCTCTACGGCCCGCCCGTGAGCGTGGGCATCGACTACCTGCGGGACCTGATCTTCTACACGACGGAATCGGAGATCGCGCTGTATTCGATGACGACGCGCGAGTACGCGCTCATCGCCTACCTGACGGGCCTCCAGTTCCTCTGGGTCGAGGCCTACATCGAGCCCACGCCGGCGCCGACCTGGGTCATGACGGACACGCCCACGTCCGCGCCGACGCTCGTCCCGTACCCCGCGCCGACGCCGTCGCCGTCGCTCTCGCCGAGCCCGGCGCCCAGCGACCCGCCGTCGCCGGCGCCGTCCTACGCGCCCTCGGGCCTGCCCGTGCCCTACCCGACGCCGGAGCCGTCGGCCGTGCCGACGCCCTGCCCGCACCCGAGCCCGACGCGCGAGCCGTCGCCGGGGCCGTCCGCGATGCCGTCGCCGGTGCCGAAGCCCCAGCCGTCGGCCGCGCCGTCCTACGCGCCGTCCTGGGCGCCCGCGCCCCTGCCCACGGCCGTCCCGACGGCCTGGCCCAGCGGCCTCCCGACGACGGCGACCCCGTCGGGCACCCCGACGCCCGGTCCGAGCTACGCGCCGACGTACCCGCCCTCGGGCAACCCGTCCTGGCTCCCGTCGTCCGTGCCGACGCCCGCGCCCTTCGAGAACCCGACGCCGGAGCCCTCGGCGACGCCGTCCTACGTGCCGTCGCCCTTGCCGAGCCCGCGGCCGACCTTCCGGCCGTCCGCGGCGCCGTCGCAGATGCCGACGCCCTGGCCGACGCCCATGCCGTCGCCCATCCCCACGGAGTACAAGGAGCCGTCGACGATCCCGACCTACTCCCAGAAGCCGTCCTTCGCGCCGTCCTACACGCCGACGTCCGCGCCGACGCACCACCCGTCGAAGCCGCCGACGACCGCGCCGACGCGCGTGCCCACGTCCCAGCCGTCGCCCATCCCGACGCTGCCGCCCACCGCCGTGCCCACCATGGAGCCCACGCCCGCGCCCTCGGCCCTGCCGTCGAGCGCGCCGAGCACGCACCCGTCGTCCATGCCGACGCCGGCGCCGTCGCCGCTGCCGTCGGTCGTGCCGTCGCCGCGGCCGACGAGCTCGTTGCCCTCGCCGGCGCCGTCGCAGAGCCCGACGGCCTACTGCGACCACCTCGCGAACATGTGCGGCTTCTGCTACTGCGGCGGGCCCACGAGCCTCCCGAGCTCGTCGCCGACGACCGCGCGGCCGACGAACTTGGCGTTCTTCGCGGGGGCGCCGACGTACCGGCCGACGCACTTCGGCGACGGCGTCCCCGAGGCACAGAACCGACCGTCCAAGCACCACGTCGGCAACTAGGCGCCGCGCAATTCACAGACACTTATAACGACTCGCACTCGAGCTTTAGAATCGCCGATCACCGCCTGATCAGCTGAGGCAATTTCGAACTTTGTCCGCAGTCCTTCATGTGCGTGCGCCGCTCCCCTCCCTGCGCGCGCGCATGACCCGCCTCGCTCGACGCCGCGGGCCACGGCACCACGCCGTGCGCGCCGCGGAGGGGGGCGTGCGCAGTCGAACCAGGGCGAGAGAAACAGAGGCGGTCGATTCTTCGCGGCCAATCACGCCGAGAGCTTACGCTCACGCGACGGGGCGCGACGGGCTCCACCTCGCCCGCGGCCGCGCGTCGTCGCCCGCCCGTCGCATAAGAACGACGCACACCGCCCCGGCCCGGAATGTTCCCCCGCGACGCGCGCCTCGATCGTCGCTTCCGCCGAGGTCCGCGCGCGCAACGCGTCTCCCCGCCCGCAGATTCGCACCGGGAACGATGAATGACCCGGCCGCCCAGTATCGCTTGCTCATGTGCGTCTACGACGGGAATATCGATGGCGTGCGCGACTTGATTGATGGCGGCGCGAATATCAACCACGTATGGGACGGCGGCGGAGGATTCGCCCCCGGAGACACCGCTCTCAGCCTTGCTATCTATTCTATGATGCAGGAAACCAACCCCTCTGCAAATATGGTGAACGCTTTACTCGCTCTCGGCGCCGACGCCAGCGGTGATACCCACTTTCTTTTTGCCGCGATTGGCTACCCCTTCGACAACGGCGTAAACCTCGACTTGGTTGCCGCTTTGGTCGCGGCGGGCGTCGACGTCCAAGCGAAGCAGAGAAGCCCCTCGGGCATGTATTATACGCCTCTGCATATCGTGTTACAAAATATTGGGGATCCGAAGAAGGCGGTGGCCGTGGCAAATCTGCTCATATCGAAGGGCGCTCTGGTTGACGCGAAAAACGATCGCGGCGAGAGGCCTCTGGATTACGCGCTTCGCGTCAAATATTCAGATGGCCGCCGCATGCCCGCCACACATGCCGCCAGCAACCGCGCCCTGGCCAAATGTCTGCTTCGGGCCGGCGCTGCTACGACGGGCCTTGCCGACGATCTGGAAGAAAGTCCCGCGAAGACGTCCGTCGACCTGGTCATCAAGGCCGGCGGCTGGAAACGGTACGCGCTCAAGCACAAGCAGGTCCTCGTCGGCCTCGTGACCAAGTGCAAGCCCATGCCCGACGACGCCGCCGGACTGGTCGTGGACTTCTACTGCCCGAGCGGGGGCTCCTAGACGGCGCGCGCGCGCGGAACCAGCCCCTAAGAAGAGACCCCATCTTACACCCCGATCATCCGCGTCGTGTCCTCCGGAGGCCGCCGGTCGATCTCGCCGTACATGTCCCGGGGCCGCGTGTCCTCCTCCTCGCTCTCGCTCTCGTCGCCCGGCGGCCGCGGCGCCTTCGGCGGCGCCTTGGCGAGCACGACGCCGCACGCGTGCTTGTGCGTCGCCCAGTGGCCCATCTGGCAAAGCTGGGAGCAGTAGTGGACCTTCCTGCACTTGCCGCAGCGCTTCCGCGCGGGCCCCTTGCCGCACCTGGCGCAGACGACGGGCGCGTCGAGCGCGACGTTTGAATCGTCGGCGGCCCGCTGGAGCGCGCGGAGCACCTTCGGGTGGCCCGCGGCGACGGCCGCCGCGCCCCGGCCCGCGCCGTCCGCGGCCTTCAGGTTCGCGCCCGCGGCCGCGAGCGCGGCGACGACGCCGTCGCGGCCCTGGTGGCACGCGACCAAGAGCGGCGTCCGCCTGGGCAGCAAAAGGGTGATTCAACGTCGCTTCAACGTGAGTGTTCCGCGCGCGCGCGTTCCGGGAAAAGCATCCACGCTTCGAGACCGTTCCGAGAGATGATCGCTCGTCCAAAAATCAGCCGAAACGAGTGGAAACCGGCCGAGATAGGAGCCTTTGAAGTTGGGAATTTCGCTCTCTTTTGCTGCCCTGGCGTCCGCCCGTCCGGCCCGACGGCCTCCAGGTCCGCGCCGCCCTCGACGGCGAGGTACTTGGCGAGCTCGAGGTGGCCCCGCGCCGCCGCCGCGTGGAGGGGCGTGCTGCCGTCGTCCGACGCCGCGCGGAGGATCGAGGGCCCCCGGAGCCGCGCGAGCAATCTCACGACCCCCACGTGGCCGTTCTCCGTCGCGTAGTGCACGGGCGTCGCGCGCTTCTCGCCCGGCGCCTCGGCGTCGGCGCCGGCGTCGAGGAGCAGGGTCAGCACGTCGCCGTGGCCCTCCTGGCACGCGACGTGCACCGGCCCCCGCGCGTCCAACTCCTTCGCCCGGTCGTCGTTCTCCCTGGACCAGGGCGGCCAGGCGGCCTTGGGCGGCACGGGCCCGTCGAGGAAGCCCGCGCCGCGCGCGAGCAGCGCGGCGACGACGGACGCGTGGCCCTCCTGGCAGGCCATGTAGAGCGGCGACGCGCCCGTGCCGTTGCCGACGTTCAATTCCGCGCCGAGGTCCAGGAGGCGGACGCAGACCTTCGCGTGGCCGTGCTCCGCGGCGAGGTGCAGGGGCGTCGCGCCGCTCTCGTCGGCGACGGCGATGGACGCCGGGCCGCCGAGGGTCCGGCCCCGCTCCTCGGAGAACAGAACGTCGAAGACGTCGCCGTAGCCTGGGCAGGAAAAGAGGGATTCAACGTCGCTTCAACGTGAGTGTTCCGCGCGCGCGCGTTCCAAAAAAAAGCATCCACGCTTCGAGATCGTTCCGAGAGATGATCGCTTGTCCAAAAATCAGCCAAAACGAATGGAAATCGACCGAGATAGGAGCCTTTGAAGTTGGGAATTTCGCACCCTTTTCCTGCCCTGGCCTCCGCCCGCGCGGCACGCCTGGTGCAGGGCCGTCTGGCCGACCTTGGTCGTCGCGAGCACGTCGACGCGCCCCTCGGCGACGAGGTAGCGCATGACGTCGACGTGGCGCTGGTGCGCGGCGACGTAGAAGGGCGTCGCGTTCGCGTTCTGGGGAGTTTCCAGCGACGCGCCGGCGGCGAAGAGGACGCGCACGTAGTCGAGGTAGCCGCCCTGGCAGGCGATGTAGACGGCCGTCGCGCCGTCGGTCTGGGCGAGGTGCACGTCGACCTTGGCCGTTTGCACTAGATATTCGACGACGTCCAACCGGCCGCCGTGCAAACACGCGACGTGCAAAGGCGTCGACCGGTGGTTCTCGAGGCCCCGCGCGTCGAGGTCCGCGCCCGCGTAGCGCAGGGTCCGCAACGCCTCGACGCTGCCGCCGACGCAGGCGAGGTGCACGGGCTGGTTGCCGCACTTGTTGGTCGCGTCGACCTTGGCCCCGTACCTCAACAGCAGCTCGATGGTCTTGACGCGGCCGCAGGCCGCGGCGAAGGTCATGACCGTGTTGCCGGCGACGTCGCTCTCCGGCGGCGCCTGCTCGTCCAGCAGCGCCTCCTCCGCCGCCGCGACGCCGAAGAAGTAGGCGAGCTCGCGGTAGTCCGTGATGTCGTGGGTCTTGAAGCGCTCGAAAATAATATTAAAACGGTTCTGGGGCATGGTCGGCGGCCGCATGTGGTAGAGGTAGTCGGGCCGCTGCCAGTCCTTGTGCCATTTCGGCAGCGTGTGGCGGCTGTACTCGCGGGGCATCGCGGCGCGACGAATGGAGAGGGCCAGCGCCGGGGCTGCATGTACAACAGTGCCGACACGATGCTGTGCACAAAAAAAACTGCGGGGGGCAGCCTCCGCGTTAGCTGTTTCAGCTACTGCCGCGGCGGCCACCATGGGCATGCTCGTCGTCGAGGAGCCGGCGCACGCGACGCCGGACGCGCCGGAGACGGACATCATGCCCGCCTTCGGGCGGGGCATGTGCCCGAAGCTCGTCGCCGAGGTCCAGTCCGCGAAGCGGGCCGTGCGCGTCAACGCCCTCGAGGTGCTCTGCGACGAGTTCAAGAACCCGGCGTCCGTCGTCGGCTGCGTCGACTGCGGCGTCGTCGAAGTGCTCAACGACCAGGCCGCCGGCGACCCGGACCCGCTGACGCGGTTGCGGGCGTCCGCGGCGCTGGCCCATTGCGCGCGCGACGCGACGGGCCGCCGCGCGATGATCGCCAAGAACAGCGCCAAGGCCGTCAAGGCCGCGCTCGGCGACGACGAGAACGACGTGCGCGGCCACGTCTACGAGGCCTTGATCCGCGTGTCGAGCGGCTCCGTCGCGGGCGTGCGATCGCTCATAGGCGCGAACTACGCGGGTCTGTTGGTCGGCAAGGCGGCCAAGGAGGTCGTCGCGCTGCAGCCGCCGGCGCTGGAGCTGTTGACGCACTGCCTCTACGACCCCCGGGGCCTCGAGAGCGCGCTGAGCCACGGGGCCGTGAAGACGACGATCACGCTGCTGTCTTCCTTCGACGCGAAGGTCAGAGAGAAGGCCGCGGCGTGCCTCGCGATCTTGTGCTTCGCCGAGGAGGCCAAGGAGGCGGCCATCGAGGGCGGCGCCGTGCCCCTCCTCGTGGATCTCATGAAGGACCCGGACCTCGCGTCGCGGTCCGCGGCCGCCGCGGCTTTGGCCGCCGTGACGATGACGGACGAGGGCAAGCGGCGCATGGTGCCGTCGCCCGACGCGGCCGAGGTCGAGTCCGTGGCGCTCCTGCTGGCGCTGCTGCGCGAGGGCGACGGGCCCCTGGCGACGAACGTGCTCAAGGTCGTCGCGAACGTCGCCGTGCACCCGAAGGCGCGGAACCAGCTCCGGAACTCCGCGGACTGCCTGTCCCTGCTCGACGGCATCATCGCGGGAGACAACGCCCTCAACGCGAAGCACGCCGCCATCGCCAAGGCCGCCGTGCTCTGGGAGCCCTAGGCGCCGGCGTAAGGCGGTCGGGGCGGCTTAGGGGCGCGAGGGGCTCACTCCCAGGGCTTGACGGGGTCGTCCTTGGACAGGGGGTCCGGGCCGAGGAGCTTGGCCGCGTCCTCGCAGAATTTCGCGCGCAGCTCCGCGACGGCGGCCGGGTCCTTGTCGTCCATGGGGATGCTGTCGAACTTCTTCGCCGCCGCGTCGACGGCGTCGATGCGCTTCCGGAGCCACTTCGTGTGGCCCATCCACTCCTTCGTCGTCAGGAGGCACCCGTCCAAAGCGGTTTCCAATTTCTCCTTGTCGAGGTCGATGCCGATGAAGACGATCTCCTGGCGGCGGTCGCCGACGCTGTCGGCCAGATTCAGCTCCTCCGGGTCCTCCATCTGCTCCTCCTCCGGAAAATCCTTCATGATGTCGTCCGTGATGCCCGCGGCTTCCGCCTGGCGCCAGAACTCGGGCGGCGCGGAGACGTACCACATGCCGTCGGAGCACAGCCGGCCGACGGCGCCGGCCTGACTCCAGTTGCCGATGCGCGTCGGCCGGCTCCCGATCCAGAGCGAGCCCTTGGACCGCAGGAGCGTCCCGAAGGCCTTGCGGTTCGCCTCCGCGGCGTCCCTTTTCGCCGCCAGCACGCCCGCGGCGTTCGCGCCCGCGGTCTCGTAGACGACGAAGATCGAGTTCAGGAACGCGTGGAGCCGCGCCGCGTGGAACGGCGTCCGCCGTTTGTACACGAAGTTCTCGAAGCCGATGGCGGACAGCGACGTCGTGTCCTTGGACCGCTCGTAGGAGCCCTCCTGGCTCCCCTGGAGGATCTGGACCCAGCCCGCGGCGCAGGCCGTCCGCCGGAAGTCGAACTTGCCCGTGAGGAGCATGTCGGCCACGGGCGCGTTCGACTGCGTCGTCGCGAGCGTCGTCGCGTGCGGGTTCAGGCGCTGCACCGTCTTCTCCGCGAAGGCCACGCGGTCGTCCCCCGCGAGGTCCGCCTTGTTCAGCAGCACGACGTCCGCGAACTCGACCTGGCTCACGAGCAGGTCGACGACGTTCTCGGACATGGTCGCGCACGCTTCCGTTTCTTCCGCCGTCGCGTGGCCGTGGCCCGCGTGGTCGTGGTCCATGACCGCGACGCTCGCGAAGTTCTCCGAGAAGGACGCGGCGTCGATGACCGTGACCATGGTGTCGAGCCGCGCGAGCGCGTCGAGCTCAGGGTCGTGCGCGAACGCCTGGGCCACGGACGCCGGGTCCGACACGCCCGTCGACTCCACCACCAAGACGTCGAAGCGGCGCTTCGCGTCGTCGGCCTCGTCCCTGAGCAGCGCGAGCTCGCGCACCTCCTGGAGCAGGTCGTCGCGCCGCGTGCAGCAGATGCAGCCGTTCGTCATTTCGACGAGCGTCTCGTTCGCCTTCACGAGGCGGCTGTCCTTGATGTCGCGCTCGTCCAAATTTACGGCGCCGACGTCGTTGACGAGCACGGCGACGCGCACGTTCTCCCGGTTCGTCAGGATGTGCTTGAGCAGCGTCGTCTTGCCCGCGCCGAGGAAGCCCGAGAGCACGGTGACCGGCAATCGGTCGTCCGCGGCGGCGGCGTCCGCGCGCGCCGTGATGTCCTCGACCGTCGGGTCCTCGTCGCCGTCCTGTGCGAAGGTGGCCATGCTACGCGCGCTGCGGCGACTATCTTGACAGAGTCGCGGCGGCGGCGGGTCGCTTCGTGATGAACACGAGGCTGCGGCGTTTCGCGAGTGCTCGCGCCCGCCCTTGCCCGGCACCGTCGGCTCGCACTGGTATCCCTCCCCGCGCCGCACTACTTACGCCGGGTGCAGCACGCGCGCGATGGTCGCGGCGCGCGCGCTGCTCCCCGCGACGGCGACCTCGTCCTCGTCCACCTCGACGAAGAACGCGCGGCGGAGGAACGCGCCGCTGTCCGTGTCCGCGAGCGCGCCCGTCGCGAGCCACGCGTCGCACGCGGCGACGAGCGCCGCGGGCTCGAGCGGCTTCGCGAGGGCGGCCCCGAGGCCGTCGGCGACGAGCGTGAAGCCGACGGCGCGCATGACCGCGTCGTGGACGACGGGCTCCCCCGGCGGCGGCCGGCCCCGGCCGTGGTACCAGACCCTCCGCCGCGCGACGGACGCGCGCGTCTCGCCCGCGGCGGCGAAGACGAGGCGCGTGCGGCCGCCCATGAGCGTCGCGAAGACGTCGTCGGCGCGCGCGCCCTCGAACATGTAGAGCGCGCACGTCGAGCGCGGCCACTGCTCCGGCGACGGCGAGAGCAGCGGCGCGAGCGCCGCGGCCGCGACCAGAGCCCGGTGGTCGAGCGGGTCCGGCGAGAAGGCGGCGAGATAGCAGGGCAGCGTCGTGACGAAGGCGTAGGCCACGTTCTTCGACATGGCCATCGCTATTCCCGCGTGGAACGCGAGGAACGCCGCGGCCGCCGCGGGCCTGTACGCGTCGGGCCCGAGCGCGAGCAGCGGCACGGCCGCGAGCTCGAAGACCAGCGTCGCGGCGGCGAGGCCCGCGCAGGCGGCGTCGGACCGCGCGAGCGCCTCCGAGAGCCGCGGCGCCGCGGGCAGGTAGCCCGGGCCCCACATGCGCTCGTTCTTCGCGAAGAGCCGCAGGTACGTCCGCATGGTCCGCGGCGCGCACCAGTGCCGGCCGCCGACGCGGAGCTTGCTGGCGCCGGACGCGACGACGAAGTGGACGACGGCCGCGAGCGCCAGCGACCGGAAGAGCGCGTCGGAACCCGCGCACGCGGCCCAGGCGACCCAGAGCAACGGGTACTCGCCGTGGCGCCGCGTCGACGCCGTCTCCGCGAGGTGGTAGAAGCTCGCCGCGGCCGCGTAGGCGAACCGCGCCGCGCGCGCGTCGGGCGCGGCGGCCGCCGACGCCGCGGCCGCGACGACGCCGACGCACGCGAGCCGCAGGCGCCGCGCGGCGAAGAGCGACAGCTGCCGGCCGACGTGGCGCGACACGGCCGTCGTCGAGCCGGCGAAGCTCCGCCAGGGCGGCTCGCCGAGGACGACGGCGACGACGAGGAACCACCAGCCCGTCGTGCGAAACTGCGCGCGAAAGTAGCGGCCGCGCAGCGTCGCCGGCGCCGCGAGCGCCCGGTCCACGGCGACGAGGATCGCCGCGGCCGCGACGACGTAGTGCGGGCGCGCGGCCATCGCTTCAGGGCTGCCCCACCATCAGTGTTCGGGAGGTGCGGTGCTTTCTGGCAGCGCGCCGCGAGCTCGAGCGCGGGACGAGCCGGGTGGGGGTGATTACACGTGCATGGGCGAAGGAGGCGGGACGGGCGACGGTTCGCGCGGGCGTGCGACGGCGGCGGGAATGCGTACCTGCGGCGCGCGCGCGCGGCGCGCGTCGAACCGGCGCGACGGCGCGGGCGCGCGAGGGGCGGCGAGCGCCGCCGAAGCGATCCGGATGCGTGATGCGCCGCCGAAGAAGCGCCGCCTGGACACACACACCGCAAGAGAACGAAAAAGAGCGCACTTCTTCCCGAAACGGGTGGTGTTCGAAAACACCGGTTTTTTGTGTGTGTTGTGGTGATCGCGCGAAGCGCGCGACGGCAGGACTCCAATCTAGGAGCGCTCGCCGCGGATGCGGCGCGCGAGCTGGATGTCCTTGGGCATGATCGTGACGCGCTTGGCGTGGATCGCGCAGAGGTTCGTGTCCTCGAAGAGGCCGACGAGGTACGCCTCCGCGGCCTCCTGGAGCGCGAGGACCGCGGAGCCCTGGAAGCGGAGGTCCGTCTTGAAGTCCTGCGCGATCTCGCGGACGAGGCGCTGGAAGGGGAGCTTGCGCACGAGGAGCTCCGTCGACTTCTGGTAGCGGCGGATCTCGCGGAGCGCGACGGTGCCCGGGCGGTAGCGGTGGGGCTTCTTGACGCCGCCCGTGGCCGGGGCGGACTTGCGCGCCGCCTTGGTGGCGAGCTGCTTGCGGGGGGCCTTGCCCCCCGTGGACTTGCGTGCGGTCTGTTTCGTGCGGGCCATTGTGCTGTGTGTGTTTTGGAGCTGAGAGGAGGGGCTGCTGTCGCGGAGCGGGCTCCGGGTCTGACCTCGTGATCTTGTTTTTCATTGGTCGGGCAACGCAGTCGACCCGGGTCCCCTAAAAATAACTAGTCCAAATCAGGGTCAACTTAACTCGGCCCAATGAGCGTCGAGATCACGCGACCACACCGACTCCTCTCGAGCGCTTGTCGTTGTCTCCCAGCTTTGCAAAACACACGCAAAACACACTCACTCAATCATGTCTGGACGCGGCAAGGGAGGCAAGGGACTCGGCAAGGGCGGCGCCAAGCGCCACCGCAAGGTGTTGCGCGACAACATCCAGGGCATCACGAAGCCCGCGATCCGCCGCCTGGCCCGCCGCGGCGGCGTCAAGCGCATCAGCGGCCTCATCTACGAGGAGACCCGCGGCGTCCTCAAGGTCTTCCTCGAGAACGTCATCCGCGACTCCGTCACGTACACGGAGCACGCCCGCCGCAAGACGGTCACGGCCATGGACGTCGTCTACGCGCTCAAGCGCCAGGGCCGCACGCTCTACGGCTTCGGCGGGTAAATCTTCCCGCCGAGCCCGGGCGCCTCGACACCACCTCCGTCGTGGCGGCCACTCATCTTCACACCGGTGTTTTCGAACACCACCCTTTTGGAGGAAGACTTCGCGGGACCGCGGCCGACGGCCCGCGCGGGCTTCGGGCGGCCCTTCGAATCGCACGCGCGCGCCGTCGCCTCTGAACAGCGCGCGCTCGCATTCGCTCGTTCGACCGACCGCCGTACGACTCTATAACTCTGCGGGTCGGGAGAACTAAATCTATAGGGAGTCAAGCCGGACATAGGGAGTACAGAGGGAGTCGTAGGGATGAAGCCGGGGCAGAGGAGCGCGTCTCGGAACTGGAGCAGTAGCGGACAGAGGAAGCAGCGAAACAGCAGAGTCTTCGAAGAAAGGGTGGTGTTCGGAAACACCGGTGGGGTTTGAGTGTGGCGCCGCGGCGCCGGCCGTGCGCGCGACTTATCGGACGATCGAGCACGAGCCGTTCGACCGGGCCGCGACGAGCGTGGTCGCTTAGGCCGAGGCCTTGGACTTGGACTTCTTGGGGAGGAGCACGGCGTGGATGTTCGGGAGCACGCCGCCGGACGCGATCGTGACCGTGCCGAGGAGCTTGTTGAGCTCCTCGTCGTTGCGGACGGCGAGCTGGATGTGGCGCGGGATGATGCGCGCCTTCTTGTTGTCGCGCGCGGCGTTGCCCGCGAGCTCGAGGATCTCCGCGCAGAGGTACTCGAGGACCGCGCCCATGTAGACGCCGGCGCCGACGCCGACGCGCGTCGCGTACTTGCCCTTCTTGAGGAAGCGGTTCAGGCGCGCGACCGGGAACTGGAGCCCGGCCTTGGCCGCCTTGGAGGTGCCCTTGCCACCGGCACCGGTCTTGCCCTTGCCGCGGCCGCCCTTTCCTTTGCCAGACATGATGTGATGTGTGAGTGTGTGTGTTTGGGATGTGCTGAGGAGAGCGCTCGACGCCGAGACGGACTGGGCTTCCGGGGCGGAAGCGCGCCGGGTTACGGCGTCCGACCAATCAGAAACGCGGGCTGGCTCGCTCGCGCCCCGGAAAAACAAGAGCTCGGCGCCGCGGTTGGACGTCCTCAGCAAAACCAAACACACTCGCAATCACCATGGCCAAGACTCCCTCCAAGAAATCCGCCAAGGCGCCCAAGAAGGCCGCCGGCGGCAAGAAGAAGAAGACGCGCGTCGAGTCGTACTCCACGTACATCTACCGCGTGCTCAAGCAGGTGCACCCCGACACGGGCATCTCCAAGAAGGGCGCGCACCCGCGTCCCGACGACGCGACGCGCGCTCCCGACGCGCACCCGCGCCGCGCGCGCGCTCCCGACACGCGCACCCGCGCTGCACGCGCACGCCCGCGCCACGTGTTCACGGGTACCGCGCGCAGGCATGTCGATCATGAACTCGTTCATCAACGACATCTTCGAGCGCATCGCCCTCGAGGCCTCCAAGCTCTGCCGCTTCTCCAAGAAGGCGACGCTCTCGTCCCGCGAGATCCAGACCGCGGTCCGCCTCATGCTCCCCGGCGAGCTCTCGAAGCACGCCGTCTCCGAGGGCACCAAGGCCGTCACCAAGTTCTCCAGCTCTTAGGAGCTCGATACCGCGACGCTGCCACCAGCACACATCCACACCGGTGTTTTCGAACACCACCCTTTTGGAGGAAGAATCCGCTGCGGACCGCGGGCGCCGAGGAGCGCCGCCGCGCTCCCCTTCGTGCGACGCCCCGCGCCGCGCTTCCCTTCGTTCGACGCCCCGCGCCGCGCTCCCCTTCGCCCGACGCCCCGCGCCGCGCTCGTCGACTGCTATGGCGCGCGCGCTGCCGCTCGCTCGTCGACTCCCGCCGTAACTACCGTAGTGACCACATGCGATCGCTGGCGCGGCGAGCTATCGTACTACCGTGACTTCTAGTAGTAGTACCACGGGATCAGCACGTCGGCCCCGACGAACGAGCTACCGCGCTGCAGACGCCACACGCGACCAGCGCGCGTTCGTTCGGCCGCTAAGCCTTACGCTC